AGTAGTAACGAAGACGCACGAACATGTAAATAGAGTCAAATAGCTGCACTTACTCGAGAAGCTTGTATAAATCTCCATAATGTTTTGGGATTCCCGTCAAACGTATTCATGTCTAGTTTCGGCAAGTCGATCCCGACCACTGTACCGCAGTGGTCATCTCGCGGATGGCCGATTTCATGTGCGGCGGTTCGAGTCCCTGCTCAGACTTAAAAAGGACCGCAGGCATTGCCATTCTTCTCGTTTAAATTTTGCTATAAACCTCTGGCTGTTCTGTCAACCGAATGAATTCCACATCCACGGTCGCTTGCAGTCGATATTCCGTCGGCAGGGGACTCATCATCAAGCATCATCGTTTTGGAGACGCTAATCTCCATCTTCTAATTTCCAATTCCGTCATCTCTACCGCAACTTTTCTCTGTCGTCTCATTTTTCAGCCTAATTTTGACAAAATCCCAACCCGAATGCCCAGTGAACCTCACATTGTAAGCCATACTTGGCTTAGGGGGAGAGAATTGAGATGCCAAATAAAGTTGAGGAATATGAGAGTCACAACCGAACAACATCGAAAGTGCTGTTCACCAAGTTACCAGGTTCGGGTAAACGTTGGAATTCAGGGGATAATAAGTCTGAGCACCACAAATTGTTTCCAGCAGCCAGTTGGGCTACGTTGGACTTAGCGCGAAACCCGAAAAGCCAAATTGAGGTTTACCAAAATGCGGTACTATGAATACACTAGTAAAATAATAAAAATGTACAAACCTCAAATCGTGGTGCTCAGCCTCCTTACATACACTGATTCAGAAACTGCTAATTCCAAACAGGATCCTTAGGTCCACAACGAATCCGGACAAACTGTATATATGTTAGCGAAAACTGCATAATGATTTCAAAAACATGTGGGATCGAGAACAACAAAGATGATAAAGGTACAAAACGGGAACAACAAAAATAGGTCCTCACGTAGTACACAATAAAAATAGAAGGAAAGGGTCAAAAATGGGTAAGCATTGGGTTCTATCGCAGGTGACAAGCACCCCATACGCGTTTCACAATCCACGGACTTCAGGATAGCACGGCTTATTGGACAGGCTCAATGAGGGTTACATCTTTCTTGCGTCCTGAGTAGACGACTTGGTTGGCGTATTCAGGAGGCGTAGACCCCGTTGAACATGCGGAAGTCCACGTGAGTAATACGGGCGAAGGTGCGCCAAATCCCCCGTAAAACAAGAAGTGCCTTTTAAGAGGATTTTTCATGGTGCGGTGAAAAAGACGTGTTTGAAGAGAACCGGCTTAGAATTTCCCCTAAGTCCCACAAGACTGGGGTTTGTGGGGAAGTGGGACGTGTAAGGCTCAATCAGATGCTTTCGACGCCAGAAAATTTGGCATCTGATATAAGTCCTTTCTCTTTAGTTTGGGTCAAACTTTCCATAGGCATGAACATGCTGGCCATGTAAGACATGCTTTGGAGGAATCCGTGCTGCACTTGGGTCGCCAGGTCGTTGGTGCTGAGGTGAATTTTGAAGTCCAGCTTCGAAATGCGTCCCATCATCTTGCACGATACGCCAGTTGGGCTAATGCGTCTTCAGCTGCTGGGCGGCAGCCGGTTACCAGTTGAGTGGTGAGACAATCGCTACCTCCCATGTAGAGGGAAGTTCGGCCCCGTCGGGCGACTGACGAGACAGCGGACAGAAATACTTTGCCAGTGTGAGCGGTGCTTCGTTCAGGATACTTGGATGGATCTCACCCCTTGCTGAAGAAGCTTACCTTATGCAAGAGTCGACAAAGGTCGCCCTCCCCTAGGGGGCCAACTTCGCAAGAGGCCGTTCGTAATTAGGTCTTAAAAACGTGAATGTGCTGAGATCGCTGGGGCAAAATGCATACCCGCATAAGCTTCACTGTAGGCACCATCTACCACTGTTGGGTCATTCTGGGTTCTTCGTTTCTATCCATCAAGGAGAATGCTGGTGGCTTAATTCTTCATGGTGACTCGCGCTTAAATAGCAGATCTGTGTATTCCTGGGGATTCCTAGTACTCTGGCTTGCGTTCACATGTTTACTGACTGATATCTGATTTGCAGCGGATTCACATTTTACGAAATACCAGCTCATCTTTCGTGTCTCGTGTAGTTGGCTAGGATCTCGTTTCCAGAAGATGCCGAGTCATATTAGGTCCACTAAACCCGATGTGCTCTAGGTCCATCAAGGAGGCACTGAGAGCGTTCAGATCACTCCCTAGCAAGAAATGTGTGAAGTGAAAGCTGGAGTAAATCCGCTCAAATATTTATATGTGGAAATGGCCATGTTCCGGTAGACCTGAAGGGAAACGGCAGATCACACCGAGGAGAAAAGAACCATTCCCAGGCAGCAGACTTTGATTCCACAGTGCATCGCAAAGAGCTGCAAGATTGGCGTTGGAGAGGACAATCAGGAGTGACGGGCCTGCATATAATTCGCGAAGCAACAATACCTGTCTTCCCGCTCGGGACATGGCGTAGATATATATTAATACCTCCATGCCAAAGAAATCTGGTTTGAGCTGGGTTTCTGTAAGTGCAATTATGAACAGCTGTTCAAGGCGGGCTGACCGTTTAATATCGCAAATTCCGTTGGAACAACTGGGTGGTTTGTGGACAAGCACTTCAACACTACCTCCGTTGCGTCCGAATGTGGTCAGCAGGGAAGGGTGTTGCTGGAATGCCCAGCAGATTTCACAGCCCTATGTTACGTTGAGTTTAAGGCTTCGAAATCGCGTCTGCAGTACACCTGTCTGCGTCCTGTCTTGGCGATTCCGAGAACTGCTCTTGGTTTGCAAGGGAGTCCGTTTTCCCCGGACCCTTTACCCTTTAGGACTTTTTTCCAGTTCGTGGCCAGAAAAATCGATGGCTGTTATTTTTACCTCGTGCAGCACCACCTTTTGGGTGACTGAATTAGTAGCTGTTCAAAGATTTGGTTTGTAAAGCCTCCGTTTCGATTTTTAGGCTTTCTAAAGCAATCTTAACGGCAAGAATCCTCTGCGAGGCCCTAATTGGTTCTTCTGTACATTGGATGGCATCACCAGGGAGTATTCATTTTGGCGGCACTTCCAAGGGGCTTGTTTCGCAGAGTATTGCATCTTGAATCTTGTAAGCAGCTTTATGACTGGGCAAAATTTTATGTGCCTAATTTGAAAACGAACCCCTTCCGTTTGTGTTTTTGTGAACTTCAAGGTCAACCGCAATCGGTGTGGCTAATTCTGTGTATGTCAGAATTTCCAGCACACTGCTGGTGGGTTTGTGACTCTACTGCCAGGATCGTGAGTGACATCTGTATCCGCAGTCGGACGGACCAGTTCTGACGGAGTGAAGCTCCGCTTTGGCAGTCGGGAATTCTCAGTGGTCAATGACGTCGACGGCGACGCTTGTGGTACGGAATTAGACTTCTTTGCTTGTCCTCCCACAGCTGACATAACCCAGCTTAAGACTTTTGAATTAGGTTTGGGGAACACTGCGGAGACCTTACTCTCCGCTAAGGAAACAAACGACAATAATTCCATGTATGTTAAACGCCCTGTCCTCGCGAGTCATGCCACACCCTGAGCGTCATTGTCGTTGTTGATCGAGGGATCTTTGACGGTCGAATCAAAACTGCCATCTGGGGCGACGGTCGGTCGCATCTGCACGCTTTTATGGGCACTACTACTACTACTACAACTACTATGGGGTTGACCATAAGTTTAGGGTCAGCAGATATGTCGCCAAGCGTTGGCTTGTTTCGCGCCTGCTCCCTAAGAACTCCTTGACCCAGTTTTGCGCCTCTAGTGAGCGATCTTCGGATATACGTTTGGTCTTCGAGAAGGCCTTTTGAATATCGACAGACCACTCCAACAGCTTGTTTGTGGTAGACTTCGAGGAAAATATGTCTAGAAGCCAAAATGTTAGCTTGATCCCCTTTCTGTGTAGTTATTCTTTGTGAAACGACACGCATCCGGGCTTTGGTACGACTGCGCTAGTTGGCGTGATTGTTCCGGAGAATGGACTCCGCATGATCTATTTGGACTATATCATACGTCTATCCACAATATGACACCGTGACTGTCTTGAGTACCGCATCAGAGAGCTAGACAGCCTTCTTCGCAGACAAGAATCCGGGATGGAGAGCGCTGGGCACTCCCTTAGGGAGAAAATTTAGTTACCAACTTTCGACAAAGCCGCTTCGTTCTTTGTGTTCGCGTCTTCCAGAGCCTTGGGAATAATTACCAGTGTTTCTTCGAGTGTACTCATTGAAACGGAACATTTGTACCGGATTTCTGACTTAAAAGTGTAGAATCGGTTTCGTCATTGGCATCCGTCTTGCTAGTTGTGGGATGCATGGCACACTTAATGTAGAGACACCTGGCGCAGACAAACGGTTCGGAAGATTTGGGATGTTGTCTCATCTGCTCACCTGCAAACCCGCACATTTAGAATGTCACCGCACCTGACAAGAGTGGCACTGCATTCCACGACTTAAATTTGATGAATGTATATTTCGTCCACATCTGGTGTGATCCACCTGTGTCTGTAGAGTACAGCAGTCTACAATCATTTGGCTCACGATTAAGAGTAAGCAGGCGCACCGCTGAAATGAAGTGCGGTATAACCGAGATTTCCAAGCATAGTTTTTGGAGCCAAATATTCAACAAAAGAACATGTATTAACTCCGTAAATAGATTAATCAGTGAAATCCCCTCACAAATTAGCATGGGCAAAAAGCGTAACCTGTTTCCAATGTACCGCCCAACAGTTATGGTAATTGCCTCTAAGACCTCTCAGACACATGTTTTCATCCGCACCCCATGTGTGTTCTGATAGTGTTTCAGCAAACGAGCGTCCTTGATACTGAAATATGCAGGGAACTGTGTGGTATTTGACCTTGCCCAACTGCCAAACCTAATGACGTCTACACATGCATCAACCAATCATAATACAGAACATTTTCGTCCGCAGTCTCGGTGACTGGGCGTCGGCATACATTACACCTTTATGTCGGAGTACGACAAGGTTGTTGCTGGTTCTCTGCGAATAAAGAGCGGGCAGGGCATCAAAAAGTGAGTCGTAGCATATATAACCTCTTTACGAGGCAGAAAATCGAAAAAACACAGGAAGAAAGTGGCCGCCGAATTTCCCGAAGCGACTACGGTCGCTGATGAACCAGAAGGAAGTGAGCCAAACACTCAGAAGCCAAAGTTGAGCGAACGTAGCCACTTGACCAAAGCACAGAAAGAACTGGAGCGACGCAAAGACAAACGCATGCTTGAAACAGTTTTATCGAAAGCCGTAAAGTCTCACAAGCAGCGGATCATCGAGTTCAATAACCATCTGGAGACACTTACCGAACACTTCGATATCCAGAAAGTTTCATGGACTAAATGATCTGATTTTCTTTGTCTTTCCCAAGCCGTCATATGTATATACTATAAACGCTTACTGCCCTCATCTTTGAATACAGCTAGGACCAGATGGGTTCGCACGAGTGCGGATTATTGAAGGCTGTGTACTGCTTCCGGGTTCAGCAACACCAGGAGGTCTTATTCCTCTAATTGTTATCTGTATTCGAGCGTGCCCATTGCCGTTTCTAGTTACAAGAGTGATGTCAAAGTTGAGCGTAGGCCATAGATGACAATGTTGTGAGTGCATTGGTTTCCTACGGACGCAACAATGGGTCTGAGAAGGGTCTGAGAGAAAAGGGTGCAAAGTCGAGGATAATTGACATCACAGCCCAGGGGTCTTGACTCTTGTTTACAGAACAGCTAATATTGTGCTTCGAGCATTTTTCCGCTCGGCTGAAATGTCATGGCGCCACGGCAAGGTCGAATATCGTTTAGTCTCGTACACACTTAAGGATCGGGGACCTCCATATACTGCAGCAGCGTGCCAGTCAATGTGGATCATTGGTTGGAATTCGCTTGCTTGTGTGATTGGACATCGTAGGTCAAGCATTATGCGTTCGCGGATGATCAGAGCGTCTTTAGCCTCATTCGGTCAACACCATATGCAACGCTTGTGGTTATCCACCCTTTTCCCGTGCAGCCAACACACGGGACAAATGAAAAACGATTAGGATTAACACGCGAAGGTTGCCGGACGGCGGAGAGGCTTAGAAATATGACAACGATTAGGATGTAACACACGAAAACTTTAGTAACAGTAGTAATGCTGCCGGTGGGAGTGGTTTGTCGAGCATAGTTAAGGACCCACCGTATTGAGGAGTGCTACGAACAATCTTTCGCCTGAGGATGGCAATGTTCATGTATTATATTACCTAAGGAGTGACTGACATTGGCAAACCTACTCAGCGTGTCACCCTTTATTATTGTACTAGGATTTTGTGAAACCTTTCCTACACCGTCGGATAAACCCTTCATAGTCCTGAAAGATTCGATGGGGTCATCTCGGAGCCTTTTGTATCAGCTAAGCTAGATTCGTAATGTTTGGCTATTAGAGTCGCAGAACATTCCAAAGAAACGACCCCACAGCGGTAACGGCTTGGCCTCTTCCATTACTCACTGACCTGTATCGGAATAATATATATGTAGCACCGCCTCGTACCAAGTTGGTCACTGGGTAGGGATCTGATAAACAGTCTCCTTATCCTCCAACTTGGGGGTTGCTCCTTGAAAAGAGGTCGGGTTCGAACCACGGACCATCTGGTCAGTAAATTCGCGCTCTAACCACTTGGGCCATCTCGGCTGGTATGATAGGCTGCTTACGGCAAAGTTGCTAGTCGAAACTGATCTATTGTTGGTCCCTTCCTTCTTCGTTCCACATACTTTTCGGAAACCAGTTTAGTGAGGACACCTAGGCTTTTTCAAGAACTTACGGATCCGTCCGCCGTCGCAGACACTTCGAACTCATTCGTCGGACCCTGACACTCAATTCATGTGACGGCGTTTAAAGTTCGCACTCTGAAATAAGCTAGACAACAAGTCGCTCTTGTGTATACGCTGGTTCCCCTTTCTATTGATGTGTGCTGTCCCTGGAACGAGGTCTCAAGACCCGAGTACGGCAGTCGAACTGACATCACCCGCTTTTTCTCGCACCCTTGATGCTGCTGAAGCCACCGCGGTGGGTTCTGCCGGATTCGGTGTCGTTTTAAGCGGCCGAGTTGAAGGGTCTCTGTTTAAATTGTCGCCCGTTGTTGGTTGGTTCTGTGCATTTAGTTTGGAGGCGTCTGTGATTTTACCCCGTAGACGCGTCTGTAGTTGCACCGTTTCTTGTATCTGCATGTCTCAGCAGATACTGATACTATAAAGACGGAATTTACGGCTCCCCAGTCGCTATGCTTCGGTGGGCTCGGATATTGTGGTTGCTATGGGTATGAATGCTCAAGCACTACTGGGGCTCAGTTGGTTAGTTGTCTTGGACTGGAATCGAGTCGCATTGATAACGGCGAACGCCTGTTGCAATTATATACAAATCACAGACTATGCGTCGTGCTAAATGCCGAAACAGCTGAAGCCGCTTGGTTGTGAGATACCCCTGCACGCGAAGCAACCTCCAACAAGTCGCCCTTAAGTGTAGGCTGCGCAGGTCAGCTAATGATTATTGCTTATTCTGAAACACATTTGTGGATTCTAATGAAGCGCCTGCTTACCGTGATTTTCAGGGGGTGTGCAAAAGATGCCATTCAGAAGCCCTCCGGCCCCAACGCAATGCACACCTACTAAAACGTAATGGAGTTCCTTTCGGACAGCGAGTCTTCTGATGTTTACGCTTACTGGAAACTGCTGCGTGCAACTCTGCAAGATTGCGGATGCTGTGTTTACGGAACCGCACAACCTACTAGGTTTGAACACTGGATCCCGACCAACACCCTAGAATCGCTCAAAGCTCGCAAACCTCTCTTCTAGTGAAACACAACTCGACGAACTGTCAGGAACCCGATGGAGTGTCTGCACGAATCCTGAAAGCTTAGATGAGGGAATCCTTAATTACTCCGGCTGACACGCTCAACAGGCAGAAAGAGTCCTCTGGCGAGGGAGACGCTGAGTGATATTAAGGGATCGTTCATGAATGTACGTCTACATAGTTGGACCGAGCACATTAACGATTCAACTGGCCACCTTCCATCGTTCAGTTCGATTCCCAATCCGCAAAATACCCAGGACAATCAGCATGAAACCGACAGCTTCAGCTTCGTGGATGCCTTTTGTCCTTTAAGTGCCACCAGATTACTGATTCCTGAGAACCCCACCCCCTCCGTTTAAAGATGTAGATGGGATCCTCGCAGCTTATCTAACTCACTTGCCTGTCTTTGAGAGACCGTTCAAGCCAATTGCAATGGGTCAGTATCAGTGCCCTTTTCGAAAAGGTGTTCGCTGTGAGTGAAAATCACAGAAGAATTATCTTGACCCTAGCCGTCACCAGACTTTGCGCCACTTCTTTTGAGTAGTCTCACGGAGACCCTACAATATCAAGCAAAGTTCTGGCCCGGAATCGTTGTGTGGACCACTCCGTTAAGTGTTGATACAATGACATGCATATCTTCGTGTCCCCTGGCTCCAAGGGTGTGTTCGATTCCGTCGACCGATTCACTCCTGAACAGCGTGTGCCACAGAAGTCTGTGAATATCATGCGTTCTTCGTATTCACATACTTGAGCGTATCATCGAGTAATTCGTTTCGAATTTGCTTACATGGCACCAGTGAGAACCGGGTTTTACTGCCACCGAAGTATCGTTTGTGTATTCTCTTATTCCTTCGAAAGGAATAGTCACCATTTCACCTGGCCAACGCAAGGCCCTCAGAAATACCAAAACGGGGTACACCCTGAAAAGTAACTCCATCAGGTGGCCAAACAGTTTGTTGTCTCTTCGACGGCAGCAGAACCTCCTTAAGCTAGCCACAAGGGTGTTAATCGGTGTGGACTGGTATGTCAGGAAATATGTTTCACATCTCGTCCAAAAACCGATTTGAGGTTGTGAAAATAAAAGGATCGTTTTAATAAATCATTCCCCCATACTTTCATTACCTCGATCGCAAGACTGATTTTATTGGTTCATCAAAATACGTTTTGTTGACTTGTGCATTAGAGCTCAGCCAAACTGGTAATCTGCTCACTTGTATCAGAAGATAAACGCTGCAGATGAAAGTTACAGAACGCCTATCAAACTTTTCGAAACGACGAAACCTCGACTTGTTCCAAACTGTCTCGCTAACGCAGCAAAGTGAATCTTACCCATCTCTACATGACCTACCCACATCCCGGATGGGGACCCCAGGACTCAAATCACCAGTGGTTAATGATATTGGCCTAATCGCGCAGTCAGAGGCGCTCGTGCATCAAAGCCATTGCCTTCAACACGTAGCTACCCTATCTCCGAACAAATGAACATGCCGTCGACCCCAAGTCTAGGTTGCGTATTCCACTTTCCCGTTTTCTGGTGATCGGAACTATAGTGACTGCAACCAGTGTGCCTATGGCACACGGCTTATAGCTGATAAATCAGTCGTTGACATGCCCTGTTCGTGCCAGTGATATCATACTTAACTGTCAATAAGCATGTGGAATATTACTGACATTTATGGGATGTGGCTCGCCTATGTAGTGTGTGATTCGCTGAAGTACAACCGCGTGCGTCAAGCTTAATTGATAAGCAGGATGGCCATGGAATTTCTGTAGCGAATTTGGGTACCTAAATAGTCGGCAAATCAGTAGACTGGAACTGTTCTTGGCATGATTTCGAATGAGGCGTTTCCCTCTTTTCTCCCATATTCTCCTGTTACTCTTTCACATTCATCGCTTGCATTCACCTCATGTTTGACCATGCTCTTCAAAAATAAATGATAATGGTAGTAGTATACATAGTTTCCATAATTAAGTCAATTATGCCTGTTTGACCAGCTCTTCAAAAATAAATGATAATGGTAGTAGTATACATAGTTTCCATAATTAAGTCAATTATGCCAATCTTGCAAGGTTGCGATGTCCAAACATCAGCTTTTGGAGTCTGTCCATGGCCACTTAGCCTGGTAAATCGGCCAAATAGCGTAACCATGGTTAACCCTATTTGGGAACATTTCACATATCCGTTGAACTAGTTTTAGGGAAGTAGGAACACCGTGAGCAAGTTAGACAACGCCAAACTGATTATGTTCTTCAACTTAGTGAGTTCAACTTTTAGGTCATGCAACTAGTCAACGTTATTACCGGGGGATATCAGTTTTATGCTGTACGAGGCTTTACGAGATTTGCCTGTCGCATAAGTTCAGTGAGGTCCCGAACAAAACGGCTAATACCGTATGCAATTTTGCTCAATGTAGTGCATGGACCGGCCCAAGCGCAATTTGGCCCGTCCAAAGCGAGAGATTAAGGCCGAAGATAGCGTGAGGCGTTTTGCAGCGACTGAGTCCTTCACTCCTACATGATTTCCAAAAATCACTATCAGTTTCGTAGAATTTTAAGAATTTCCAGATGAAATCGGAGCTTTCAGGCCCATGAGGCATACCGACTGAAGCCACAATTTTGCCACTTTTCCGTTATGGTTCCGGGATTAACAATAGTTGTTTGATAGGCAGATGAGCACTTCAGTTAATTTCACGGTTCCGTTCTGCTTTTCGGAGAGGCGATGGTCTCACGGCTCGATTCACTGAAGGGCCGGTATTTGGTATCTGCGATACGAGTCCGGAAGGGGGAGAAAATTTGCATTCAATATTTATTTACAAAACAATGAATGAGATACACTTCAGTCGAGCGTGATATCAGTAGGTAGATCATTCCCAAAGTTTTCCGACGAACCTGCAAATAAAAAAGAATATCTACAAGTTTCGAAAGAAATAGGAAAAAATGGTCTCAGATGAAGAAATACGTCATCACTCGTTGTCCCAGTATACATGCTTTGAATAAAATAACTACTTCGTACAGAACTTTTGTGCCGGCGAAATTAGTATGTGGGCTATTGGGATAAAAAATATCAGAAAGACAACAGTTTGCGCAGTCGAAAAAGGCCAGAAGAGACGTTAGTGTTATCAATCAACGAAACAGTCTAGTGCGACTCACTGACAATAGAAAACGACCGTTCAGTAGTACTATGGTTTTGGTGCGCACCCACCATGCAAGCTGATGGAAGTTCGAGGGTTGCCATGATTCTAAGGCTTGAGTGAGACCGACCACGAGTAAGTCTTGGTCGCCAACGAGCGAAGTTAATATTATCATGACTGCAACAGTAAAGACAAACGGCGACCCTATAATACTGGGTTAGCACTGCGGGACGCGCCACACCGGTGAGCATCTGACTAACAGTCTTAACACCCATGAGCTGTTATAGAGTGTTCTTAGACTATAGAAATAGATGTGGCACCTTAATTCTCGAGGAAGCCCCCGAGTTCGATTACACATCCCGTCGCTCGATTTTCGGAACTACGGTCGTCGTGCTATCGTCTGTCGAGAAAAATGTTTCTGCAGTTAGATCGAAATGGCGAAAACCCAGGGGAGGTAGGGGGATTGCTACTACGGAAAGTCATGAACTTATCGGTGCAATTCGCCTTATCGGATGGGAATCACTTGCTTGACTGGGGACACTGAGAGGTTCGTTGGCTAACCGATGTCAGTGGCGTTAATGCTTTCGGTTGAGTCTTGGAGGTCCATGTACTTCATGTATTCGTGGCAGACCCGCGAGAGTCCCCATTTCATTAAAGGCTTTTCTCTAGCAATTTTGCATGGTTGTATAGCAGCATTCTACACCCGCACCGCTACGAAAACAGAAATGGACGGTTATGATGTCCGACGACAACGTAAATGCTTGGTTATCCTACCGACGCAGCAACTAGAAATGCATGTTCCTAGCATACCACTAGGACTATCAACGAAGTATCACCATACCCGCAATATGCTCTCTAACTCCTGGCAGTGTTCCCGCCGTTGGAGTATCTTGACCCACAGCCATCCACACCACAGGCTACGACCGACACGACTGTCACTTCGGGCGAATGTAGGACCCTAATGCAAACAGCGATCATATTGTTCAGAAGAACTACTCAGCACATCGGTTGAAAAATAAGCCCCACCTAGGTTAAAACGATTAGTCTCAAATTTGTTTAGCTATATGTCATCATCATCGACAGCTCCGCTACCGTACAACCAGGTTTATTGGAAGAAGTGAGGAGAATTGGAGGGGGGAGGGTGCTGGGGCTGGATTACTACAGTCATTCCGAGTGCCTACAACTCCAGACACTCATTCACGCAATTTGGATAGAAACTGGCAACAAGAACGCCAGTGACAATGGTTGGCAGTCATATCCTGCGGTGTCTCCAATCAGGTGCAGTGAGGATCATGCGGTTCACTTCCTGAAAGGCGAGTAGCACCGACAGAACCCAAACGCTTCATAATCTTCTTTATACTCCTCTGCCAGGTCAAGGGTTGTTCACCTCTCTACTTCCGCCACACTAAGCTGGGGATGGGAAACAGCACACTCTTTAGCAAACGATCGTTCGGCATATGCATTACATGGCTTAACGAACGCAGCCTCTAGTGCTGCACACACTCAACAGAAGTCCCTGTTGCACAATCGAAAACTCGTTTTCTAAATGCCTCGTGACGGATTCGCCACCAAACCACAACTGAAGACATCTCAGTTTCGCTGCTCGAACAAGCCAAGTCTCACGGCCATAAAATAAGAGTGCCAAGAGCAGGCCGATCAACCGAGTCGAATGCGCCTCGGAAATCCAGGAATACTAGAATTGTCGGGCGCTTATACGTATGGTTGTTCTAGCACATGACGGTGTGAAGATTTGGTGAACGCAACCTCGACCAGGCCGAAATCCCACTTGCTGCTTTCGAGTCAGTGCCTCACGAGCCACCGTAAGGCGACGAACCACAAGTGACGCCAACAATCTCGTCACGGCCGTGACCAAGCTGGTCCCTCTGTGATTACCACACTCATTAAGAGCCCTTTTTCAAAAATGGGCCCCATCATTGACTCTCCCCAGTTGTTTGGGACAATCTCTTCCGAAATGCAGACAAACAGATCAGACAAGTGGTGACTGAGGACTTCACTCCAATCTTTGAATAATGCGGATGGGAGGTCATCTGGACCAGAGGCCTGGTGACGCTTGAGAGAACACATACAGTAATAAAATTCGAGGCCGTAGGCGGTTCCATGTTCACCGTCCAGGGTTCTACGCCAGCTGTGGGCTTCAGATGAGTGGTAGCTGGTGGCCACGATAACTGTTGTTCGAAGCGTTCGGCTCAACGGTCGAGGCGTTCTACTTTGTTCAGGAGGGTCGTTTCATTGTGATCGTTGATGGTTTCACACACAGGTGGTTTCCAAGGGCCAGTCGAACGGATCAACTGAAATAATCTACGGGTGTGCCCGGCTTTCTAGACCTCTTCCATTTCCTAAGCCTTCCGTGTCCATCACACTTCACCGTCGGTGCGCACGCTCACTTTCGCCTGTCGTCTGATAATTCGTCGGGTTAAGTTACGTTCGGGACTGGAGGGGATATTTCTCCGAAACTTAAGCAGTGCCACCATTTTGGTCTGATATCCAGTGCTTGGATGAGCCTGGTAGCACCGTTCCATGGGTGAAATTCTCAGCACTGCAAAAAGGTGGCGAGCTCGCCCCAGTATGCATGCGGCACTTGGAAGACTGTAAAAACGATTCTGATAAATTCGTCTAACATCCGAATCTGCCACATTCCGGTTGCTATTAGTCCGCACCTTACGTCGCCCTGGAAAACGAAGGCAAAAAGTACTCCGGACGGGTGAGCGGTCGAAATCCACAAATGCGTTCCAAAGCGAGCGGCAGTCAGTTATTGATCCGCACCATCGGTAACTGATGGCAATATCATCAATTTGAGTTCGTAGATAGCACACCGTTGAGGGACACATGGCTAGACTTCGGTTATTTCGGAAGTTAGCAATAGAACAGCCTGTAGTCAGCACACAGCTGAAGCAATCGTTCATTGTTCGTAAGTTTCGGGTCCAATCCATGTCAGTTAGTCTCAGATACGCTGAGCCTGTCCATTTGTGTATTCCGATCTCCCGCAACCAAAAGAATAGCTGAGCTTCTGGCACACCGTAACAGGGTATCATAAGGCTTGTCTTTAATGACGTCAGAGCCACCGTCATTTGTGGCCTGCATCTTGAATTCTTGTTTCTGAGACACAGCATACACCAATGCCAAGCGAGTCCAATGTGATAGCAACAGCAGCTTGTTTTCCTGCTTGCTTCAGAGTGCGGACAGTGAAGGCGGTCAGAGAGGCTGGGCATCGAGGCTTGAGAATTGATTTCCAGATGCCTGAGGACGTCGGTGCCGGAAGGCACGCAGATGTTGGTTGCAAAACCTACGCAGAACCAACAGAGTTATCAGTCCTAACTACTGAGCCTAAAAAGAGACAGCTATTCATGGGGTGGGGAGAGTGGATAGAAGTATGGTAGAAAGAAAGAAGGGGTCGTCAGCATTAGCATGTTTTCGCTTACCGCCATACTGTATGCAGCAAGTAAAACGGCCCGGCTGATGGCACCACGCGAAGGCCGACGTCGCGAGTATTGTTGGTCGTAAGCATTATGGTTGTACGCCTGCTGGGATACTCTCAGGACAGCCACATCTAGGCAGGATGATTACGGTCCGTAACCAAGGCCTTTGGCTCAAAAGCCTGACCACAAGGCAGCGGTGTTTGGCGGGAAATGCAAGTGCATTTAGACTTTTATGGAACAAGTCACCACACAGGTTCTAACTCCAAAACCGAAGGACCAGGAGACTGTCTTCGTCAGATCTCTAACCACTGTCCAAGCTTGTATGAGACTGCGGGTGTCGCACGGGCAGCCCCAGTACAACTCAATGGGTCATGGAGGTACACAAACCGTCATACCATAGTAAGGTTCAATCTCTTCGTGACGGCTATATGCCCAGAGCTGTCCTGATGCGTACATGGGAGAAATGTACATTTTTTAGAAATAGACGGAACTGCTGTAGGGGAGATGTGAATTCGGTTAATCTTGATGAGCAACACAGGTAGGTAGCATGTAAGTAAAAACAACATCCGGAGTCTAGTACCCAATCCAGGACCTCCCGGTTCCTAAACAAGTGACTTGCCTGAGGAGATATTGCACTTCACGGCTTACGCTGCACATTCATTCGCCACTTCTCTGCCTGTCGAAGATAATGGGCTCATCATCCTAGTTGAAAATAATCGTGTCCTACGGTTAGTAATTCGGGCCAAAAAATGATTTTTAGGATGCCGACAATTTTCAGCTTGGCAAGTGCGTCGTATAACATTGTGTGAATCAGGCTGAGGCATGTGAAAGATAACGTACCGATGTCTTCATCCATTTCAGAGGTACCAGAGGGACATTCGGGGGGTTGAGTGCAATAGGTGAGCTTGCCACTGTAGGAGGAAAAAAGTGGACATTACGTAGAATGTAGACAAGTCCGTCCCTGAAATGTGACTGACTGGCTTTGGAATAATTCAGCAAAATTCGTCTAAGGTGACCTCCAACGGGACCGGTCGAAAACGGGCAGATGGATGCTGTAGATTACGTTGTAGCCGAAAACAATTCCGTGAACGAAAAGCATCCCAGTGTCACCTCCCAAGTTTAGAACAGCAGTTGTATGGTGAAGTATTGACTAAGTGACCTAAGCTATTGTTACTAGAACATTGGGAACTCAGTTTATACCGAAGAAATGGTGATGTTTTAGACAGTAGCGACAATCCGGCAACTCTTGAAATGAAAAGTCTAAGTACATGTCGCAGGAACAAAAGGATATGTCTGGGAATGGACTCCAAGTACCAACCTGCCGCTTACCGAACGGGTGTTCTACCGACTGAGCTATCGGAAGCGCTACATCTCCACCACGCTTAGGCTGTACCAGCTTACGGTAACAGCTTGTCAGCAGTGACCCTTCTATTTAGTTCACATAATGAGCTAGCGATTCGGCGGTTTGAGTTCGTTTGCGCAACTTAAGGATACGGCATTCCGATGGAACTTATCAAAAGTAGTCGCCTTGAGGGGTGGTCACTGTGAAGAGGTCTCGTTGTTCCTGTAGCTTATGGGGGCTATGATAATATTAAAAATAGAACTATTGACGCCACTGTCCTTCAATATCCGGGACAAACAGAAGATGCAAGCGTTTTTATGTAAACTGACCACCATCATACCATCGTGCGGCATGTCCTTGTACCTGCGGACTGCACAGCTATGCCTCAAAATGCCCGGTTTCCGAACATGCGATTCGAACAGAAGCATTGGAATTTGTGGAGCCGTTTACGCAACTCTAGACGGGGGAGTCAGTGAGCCGGCTTGCAAGCCAGTTGTATGTCTGATGAACAGATCAACAACCGGTAAGCGCACTTGAGCTAGCCGAAAATTTACCCGCATTATCTGTCGTCTACTTACGAGAATAGTCAAGACACCAGTGCGAAAACCTGGGCTCGGATGTACATTAATTTAGCCAGCAAATTTCCGTTAGGTAAGTGTGTAAGGATCTACTTGGTATCAGAAGCACCCGTATACTTAGCTCGCTCGTTGAAAATGCAAACCTGGGGCCAATCAAGAGTCAACAACTTACGTTATCCAGTCACTGATAACGGCACGAGCTGCCATGGTGGTATTTGGTACACCGCCCTTCTTTAGCCGTCCAAGACGATGGGCTAGTTGAACTAGAAAGGCCGTGGTGTCTGCATAGTCACCCAGGTTGTACTTCGACATCATCTGGTGTTTAGAACATCGTCTGAGTATAGCTTCGACTGCAGGTACAGGATCGGGCAGGCTTTCGGGCTAAAGAATAATGCGGAGCATGTCTATAGAAGGTCGAAGTAGCTGCATGGAATAATCAAACTACCAAGTTTTTCTACCGTGGGTGAAAATGATACCACAAGCAAGTATGATCGCTGAGTAGTGGTTCCTAAGGATAAATCCTAGTATGACGCAAAATGGGCGTTAACAAAAGGGTTATAACGAGATCATCTTTCCTAAAACTGACGTCATTTACATAAAGGATTTTATTCACAAGATTACTGGAAACTTCAACAGCCCACGACCGCTTTCGCTCTCCATGGGGCTTATCACGTAGGCGTAGTCTCCGAGTTTTCGCCATAATTGAGAGATTTAGTTGAGTCTTTCATGAAAACCAAACTGATGTGCAAATGATTTCCCGAAATCTGTCCAATCTGAGTTCAAATAGAACATAGGGTTGAAGGAAGTCGCGAATCGCGCCTACCTGATGAGCCCAAAAAAGGGAAAAACCAGTCTTGGAGTCTCGAAGAGTTTTCAACAACCTTTCCAGTAGTTTCTTCTAAACCTATTTCATTTGAAGGTTCACTATTTGTGAACTGAACACGCCACTTAAACGTGTACATATTTAACATTTTTCTTGACAGTGCAGGTGCTTACACTGGGATATTTTGAATATCGTAACAACAGAAGCATGAGATGGCCTCTGTGCAGCACATTAAGTTGAAAAATAGTATAAAAGAAAAGATTCAGTTGAGTCTCTCGTGAAAACTAAATTGATATACAAATGATTGCATTCGTCTGACGTTACTTATTTTGTGTAAGCAACGAGGATATTTTCCGACTGATTTCAACCAAGACTGAGAGGCCGACAGACAGCGTACAACCATGTTACAACAAAGTGCAAAGATTCAGGTCTCTCGTGAAAACTAAATTGATATACAAATGATTGCATTCGTCTGACGTTACTTATTTTGTGTAAGCAACGAGGATATTTTCCGACTGATTTCAACCAAGACTGAGAGGCCGACAGACAGCGTACAACCATGTTACAACAAAGTGCGTCTCATTACTCTGTAGAGATCTGAACCCACAGCCTAATACTAGTCCGAGCACAACCACTGCAATGCTGTTTGGGTTGTGATCTTCGTAAGGATTCGCCAAACGGTGCGGTATTTCTGGGCTTTGCAAAAGACAGTGGCTACTTTACAGCAAGAACCCAGGTTTAGTACCTAGTCAATTCCAAATAAATTGGTTCCGGTGGAGCACCGTATTATTTTCCGTATTGTACGGTGAATTCCGCGATTTCTCACACAGAAAGTCGATTGAACAGCCAGCCAATCGTTCCTCGTTTAAATACACGCAGGCGGGAGGTATGAAATGTACAAAAGTTTAAAAATAATTAGATAAAACAGCTTTAATATTCCAAATCTGGTCGCGATCTACCGGGTCCACTGTCGAAAAGTCAGTTAAACGCACCACAATAGACCCTCCGCACCTCTTGCGTTCTTGTAAGTGGCGTAAAAATTGGGCTGACGAACTTATAGATCCCATTTTGTTGTGAAACACATGAGTAGCCAAGTCTTGTGGTTAAACTCCTAAGGCCTAGAACTCCGAAGCCATCAAACCTCATCACGTTACCACTGAATGGCAGCTGAGAGTGTGCCAAACAACTGGTATTCTTGCTTCATCCAAATAATGCTGAGCAGTTTATGCAACGGGTCTGGTAGTGCCGAAGTTTCTCGATGTAGATAGACTGGGCCTTGTCGTGGTGGTAGTTTTATGATCCACTGAGCCGTAGCTTCGTACTCGCTAAGTTTCTCACATCAGGTTGGTCAGCTGATAAAAGGCTGATGAATAGTCTCCTGGTCCTCTGAATTGAGGACTGAAACAGGAACGGCTACTTATTCCCAATGGAGTAGTATGTCATCACCACCTCTGCCTCGTTGTCACGATTCTGAGCTAAAGGGGACCCCAAACATCTTTCTGTTTAGGTGTGGATACCCTGAGAATATCCCAGTCCGCGTACAATCATGACCCCCACAGCTAAAAATGTCATACCACATCGACCGTCGCGTGGTACCATCATTCTCAGGTCATTGTACTTGCTGTAAACATCAGGTCGGGTAAACAAAAACGTGCGAGTGCTGACGCCGCCCTTTGTACACTTTAAAGTATTCCCTCTTCTACCATACCCCACATCAATGTGGATACTCCCCCTCTCTCTCTCTCTGCGGGTCCCAGCACTGGGACTGGCCGCATTGTTTTTCCTTGCATCAGTCTCGGACACATATTCTGAGCGTCCGAGTTCACGGACAACCCTAAAAACGTAGTATTGAAACCTCAAAAGCCGATCTGCTCGTTTGTCTTACTTATTCGCACACCGAAGCATACAGGACAACAAGTGACCCCTGATCGTAAGCTATAGCAAGGTGCCACTTGGCCTTACTCTTCGAAGGTCGACTGAAGACACGGATAGATAGTTCCGTGAAAATGAACCTGCGCTTCGTCCTGCAAGAGGGTGCATCGATCATATCTCTACCCTCCGACAGATTCTGGAACAGCGACTCTGCTTCCAGCGACCACAATGGTTGTATTCCCTGACCTGAAAGCTGCCTTTGATTCTGTGGACCGTCATGCACCATGCCAATGTCTGTGGACCGAAGGTGTCCCCCCCCCCTTAAGGCGCTGGACGCCAACTCCCGCGGACGTGTGAAGGTCTATATAGAGGCCTCGTCTGAGTTCACCACATCAACAGATGTTCGACCGGGCTGTCCTGTCTATCTTTCTCCTTCAACTTTGTCAGTGATACGATTATGGAAGATTCATCACTAGCCTCCAGTTCCTGTGGGGTCGAAGTGCTCCCGGGGCGTCCGCTCCCAGATAACGAGTGAGCAAATGATATAGCTCCTCTTGCATCCGAAGTTGCGGTAATGCAAACAATAGTAAATAATCTAAATAATTCAATCTCAAGGTTGGGCATGCGCTTCGCAATTTTAAAGTGTAAAGTGCTGCTGCAAGACTGGATGGACTGGAACTTTAACCTCATGATTGCGGATGAGCCGATCGATGTAGCAGACAAATTTATCAACCTTGTCAGCTGTATCAGTCGCGTGGGTCTAGTCGAAGACATTTTCGTCCGCGTACTTTTGGGCATAACGTCAGCTTATCCGTCAAGGGTAGAGTGTTGGATGTCTCGATGAGCCTCAAGTGATTATGTGGTCATTACCTGGTCGTTTTGCGCTGAGGAAGTCAAAAGTCTTTTAGTGACCGGTCATCGATATCTTCGGAGCATTGTCCAAGTCTGGTGGGAACACCGCATCCATAATACAGAAGTACGTCGAATGGTTTTCGGGAGAGATAGCTCTTCCACAGTAGATGAACTGATCACACTCCAGCGGATTGTGCTGGCTTGGCCACGTGCACCGTATGCCAGTCGACCGACTTCCTATCATAATCACGTGAAAGGTGGAAACGAGTGATGGGAGGTCAAACACTGACTTGGTAGTGAACTATGCATCCATTACCAGCAATCATCATCATCATCGTAATCATCGACAGCATGACATCAGTGTTCAACACCGATGCTTCACTGTCACACATTATCATTGCTGGGGGTTTGCATTACCAGCAAACTCAGCTGCGCTGTTCATTGCCGTCTCCACGGATGTGGATGCCGGGATGGGACACACCAATGGTTGGAGACATTGTCATCCAAGCTGTAGACTTACACAGATCTCCTTCCGATCCTCCTTAATGAGATGCTCACTGACACCACTACGTTTATCCATCACTTATATCAGCTACCGCCAACAGTGCGCACCCAACTACCCCTCTTTCCCAAATCATCGGTAAACGAAACTATGGTAACTATAATCACTTTGCGGTAAGTACGCCGTTTTAACAGTTGGTTGTTATTATTATGACCCAATGCTGGAACTTCTACCTGCGGTATAACCTAGCCAACCTCATCTAAGCAATGGACGTTCCTAAATTTCAAGGAAAGTGTATCATGCTACAGTACGGATTGTTTCGTATGTCTGCGAAACGTGGCCACTGCGAGCAACAGAACTGACATTTCTTTAGGTGTTCAACAACCGTTGTCTCTGAACCATAGCTCATGTAGACGGTGTCGGTGCCCGGTTGCGTAACTGGGCACACAATCGGAATGTGTCCAGCAATAGAAGATGCTGTTTAGGCCATATATTATGCATACTTAATCATCGTTTGTCAAAGACAGTGTTGTTTTCCGTACCTTTTTCAGAGCAGCGCAAACAGAACAGTGATCAGCCCTTGACTTGGTACATGGGTATGGCATCTGTGACATACTGAGACAACCACTCAAAGATGTTCAAAACGCCGGTGTTCAAATCCTTGCTGATGATTACCTTGTCAGCAGACTAAAACGAAGCGCAAACACTGCTGAATAAACTAATCACCATCATACCACATTTAGGCGTGCACCTTATACCTTCAGGGTGTAAAGTAAGGCCACAGAACATCCTGTCCCTGAAAATACTTCTTAAAATTCAAGGAATAGCAATGGAGATTGTGATATATTTTACGCAATTCGGTAGTGTTAGCTCAACTGCAGTCATGCTTGAGGAAGCCGGTGTACGAATCTCAAAGACCCGAATCAAGCTTGAAAACTTGCGTCACTTGCGGCATCAAAAAGGCATGCTAATGGGCCTTACAGGTCGCGTGCAACAGGGTATAGTAATGGATGCATTGTGTGGTTGCGAGACATGGTCTCCGCGGACAGGTGTGAGACATCTCTAAACTGTTGACCACCATATCTCAGAAGTGGCGCTGGTGTCGAATGGTGTGAACGAATTCGCAACGATGCTACCAGAAAACGGACATATGGATGTGCAGCAAGTACTGCAGTCGCGGGAGGCATCCAGCAACATCGTCTACGGAGACGATTCTTGTTCTCCGTGCCTGCTTCAGAATGGTGCAAGCTTCGTGGTGGACGTGCGGCTTGGCAGAATATAAAGGGATTACCAAGGGTTTGGGTGTTGTTGGTTTTACCCGATTTTCAGGAT